GGATCAGCTCTGATTTAGTCTTACCCAGTTGCCCTGGGACAAGTCTTTATAGCTGGTGAAAGCCAAGGGTGCTATACCACCATGGGCAAGAGGTTGCACTTTGCTATTTACTGATTGAGTTATTTATTTATTGTTCTTGCAATGCTGGGGTTTGAACCAGTATGCACTAAACCAGAGCTCTGCCACTGAGCCCTGTATTTTAACTCATGAGAAGCAATTTGGTGAGGAGAATGGATAGTCAAATCTCCTCCAGGCCCCAAAATTTTAATGTCCTCTTTTGTAAAGTGGAGGCGTGTATGTGTATGTGTATGTGTCCTGTGGGCCTTTCTGAGGAGGAAATGAGATGACAAATGTGGAAATGTGTTGAAATACAGGAGGCGAGCACAGAGTATATCATTATTATTATGCAGAGCAATCTTTTCTCCATAACATAAAGTTTGTCTTTTGTTGGAGGCCAAGAGTAATAACTATGTAATTAGACTTTGTGTCATATCAAGAGAGGCATGCTCTGTTTTTCATTAAACAGATATTTGTTTGGCTTCTACCATGTGCAGCCTTGTGTATTGATAGATGTGAAAATTGAATCAGCCATAATTGTTTCCTTCAAGGAATGCACATCTTTGTTTCAGGAAGATAGAACTGAGATAATACAAGGTCAAAGTAACTCAGGGGAAAGAAGGGCCTGTCTGGGTTGGAAAGTTGAGGAAAGGCTTGTTAGGAATGAGAGTTTTCACTGGAGAGACAGGCAAGATGATAGGACGTTCACCTAGCAGATAAGACCTACCCACTACATAACCAAGGTGATACAGGCCCAGAAGCAGTGCCCTGGGGACCAGTCAAGCACCAAGGAGATGGCAGGGAAGGAGGGTGAGATGAGGAAAAGCAGCTAGCAGCATCTCCGAATGTGTGATGAGCTTAGTCTTGGGACTGGCAAAATTTCCTCTATGCTTTTCTGAGCTCAACCATTGGGTGCCCACACCTGTCTTTGAAAGGGTTTGGTGTCTGTGAACCTAGACATCTTTTGGTAATGATTTAAGTTACTCAAAAAATTGAGGGCCCTGGAGCAAAGAGACAAAAGGAAAGAAAAAAAACTCTCGGTTAGCAGCCTTGTTCTGTTTGATCTCACAGACAGCAGGCGATAATGGAAGGGAGCTGGAGCTGAGGACAGAAGGTAGTTGGGTTCCAAGTAGCGGCCTCCTCCTGGAGCTATGTCCGCTGTTTGGACTTGCAGACTTCAAACATGACTGGGGGATTCCTGGAAGACAAAAGAATTCAGGGCCGAGCCTTGGATCTCAGTCAAAAATAACTCATGTCTTCATTTCAAGCAGGCAAAGGCCGCAGCCCGGAAGACTGGAGCTACAGGTGTGCTGAGGGTCAGCTTAGGTTTGCTGTGGAGAAGGAAGGAGCCTTGAAGGATCTGGGCCTGGCTTAAAGAAATGGGAAACCCACATCCAAGAGGTCTGATGAAAAAGCCATGCATTTCACCCCACTTCTGGGTGCTGTCTGCCATTTGCTTTAAGTGATAATTACAGCCCTTAATGTTCCTTCCCTGAAGTTCCATTACCTTTAGGTATCCACAAACAAACTGCTCACCTCTTCTTCTCCCAGGGGTTCCTTTTTTTCTTTTTCCAGTGCCAGGGATGAAACCCAGGGCCTTATGCATGCTAGGCAAGTGCTCTACCACTGATCCACACCTGAGCCTTCCTCCTGGCTTTTCAGAGCAGACAGTTGTTCTAGTTCCCAGGTCCAGTTTGCCTTCCTTTAGAGGGTGGATTTGAGAGATAGTTCCCTGACACCGTCCCCTCTGTATTATATCATGGGCTGTCATTAGAGGATTATCTAATTTTCTCCCAGAAGGCCAAGCTTGGCACTTATCTAACCCTTTGTAGTCTCAGCACCTTGGCCAGGGTCTGGCAAATAATAACACTCATAACATGTTAGCTGAAAGGCACTGTTGAGCCAGCTTAATCTTCCTAAAATGCTGCTCCACTGCTTCTCCATTGCCCACTGGGGCAGGGCCAGCCTCCTTGGACTGGTACTCAAGGACCTTCTCGACATGGTCCTCCTTACCAACCTTGCCAGCCTTACTCTGTACCAATCCACTTAGTGTTTCCCCCTCTCAGTCTGCTGTGGTCTGTGTCTTTGGCACAGCAATTCCCTCCATGCAGAAACCTTTCCACTCTATCTCAGAGCAGCCCCATTCTCACAATTCATCTCAGCAGCACACTCCTGCCTCTGAATGGAGTTCAATCCCTTGGAGTTTGAACTGCTCTTTCCCAGTGCTGGAGTTTGGATAATAAAAGTCCTCCAAAAGTCCATGGTTTAAAGACTTGGTTCAAGGCCAGCCTGGTTTTCATAGTGAGTTCCAGGTCAGCTGGGGCTACAGAGAGCCGCTGTCTCATTAAAATAAAAAAAAAGGAATGATGCTGGCACACACCTTTAATCCCAGCACTCCGGAAACAGAGGCAGGCAGATATCTGTGAGTTCAAGGCCAGCCTGGTCTACATAGTGAGTTCCAGAACAGTTGGGGCTACAGGGAGACCCTGTCTCAAAGAAGGCCGAAAAAAAAAAAAAAAAAAAAAAAAAAAAAAAAAAAAAAGGAAAGAAAGAGAAAAGAGAAAAAAAGACATGGGGTCCAGTAGGAGGCAGTTAGATTATTGGAGGTGGTCACTTGATTGTGGGACCCCAATCTCTTCCTCTTCTTTTCCTTTCCAGCTATTAGGTATGCAGTTCTGCTCTACTACAAACCACTGTCATGCCGTGCTACTTCACCACAGGCCCAAAGCAATGGTCCAATCAATTATGGCCTAAAACCTCTCAAACTGAGCCAGAATAAATCTTTTCTCTGTATAAAGTGGTTATGTCCCATATTTTATTATGACAGAAATTCGACTAACATGCCCATGATATCCTTTTCTATATTAGACTCTTTACATCAAGCACCTCACTATAATTTCCAACCAAACCAACATGCTTCATGTGACAATCTTTGCCCACACTGTTCCCCTCTGCCTGGATTGGGGCCTCCTCACCTTCCACACTGCCTAGTTCTGGAGGCACTTCCTTTGAGAAGACCTCTTGAATCCACACAGACCCCTCCCCTCCATTTCAGTTTCCATGGAATCTAGGACTTGTTGAACACAGCTGTGGCCCCATCAAACCATTATGGAGAACAGGGTCTGTGTTTTATATCGTCCCTGTGCTCTGAATCTCCATTCCTAGTACTTAAATAAGAGCTCAATAAACATTCAGCAGTTTCACTGGGGCTTTCTAAAGACCCTTGGCCACAAAGGGATGACACAAGGGAGTTGGATATGTTGCTTCTCCCTGGACTGGTGAAGAGACAGAATATAAGAAATAGCTGGGTCAGTGGGTTGGGCTGCTGGGTATCTCTGCTGAGTAGCCATCTCCACCATGCTCCTGTCTCCTTCCAGTTCCCCTGCAACCAGGCTTCCTGAGCCATCTCTGCCTCAAAGGTCTGAGTGTAAAGAGCCAGCAACATGTACTTTATGTCAAGTCAACGACAGCGGGGGTGGGAGAGGCAGGGACCCTCACATCAGAGACCCCAGAAGCTGCCTATCCTTGTGGGCTTCTTTGCACAAAGAATTCAGCCTCTCTGTCCCCTGAAGGCTGTTTTCAAAATCACACCCCATTGCAGACAGTTTTATTTACAAGGAAATCTTGGCAGGCTCTTGACTTGTTAGTAGAGTAGGGGTGGGGGAGGGTGGTGTGAAACAAAAATAGTTGAAATAATCACACTTTCTGAAACTGAGATGAAAATTGGTGTCTGTAGCAAACTCACCTAATTAGGACGTAACTAATTTCCTTCTGTGTTTAAGGGGAGCAGTCAGTGCTGGGTGAAATGGTCACAGGTTGGCTCCTGGGGCTTCATGATACAGTTATGTTCGCCTTATGAAGATGAGTGTATTAATTGCAACTTTTACTAATAATAAAAGATCTTTCTATCTGACAGGAGGTTGAGATGGGCAAAGATGCTAAGAGGCTAAAGGGCGCAGCCTTGGTGCTGAGTGTGGACTGAGTGGGAGACTGCACCAGGAGTGAACCCCTGAGCCTCCCGTGGGGAGGCATCTACACCGGCCAGGCCACCGGCACCAAATTATAGGCATGAGGGAGTCCATCTTTCCGAGGGGGGACTCTTCCTATTGTAGGTACACTGTCCCCCACTTTTTCCTTAAAGATCTCTTATGCTTTGCTTACTTCGTTCCTGCTTTTTAGTTTCTTAACCGTCCTGCTCCCAGACCCTGCATTTTGCAGTGTTCAACATGGGCACATGAAGCCTCGCCAGGGCATATAGCTCTGGGCGCAGGCAAAGCAAAGATGAGGGTTTTGGGGACCCCCCTGACTTTTCTTTCATCTCTAGGGTTCTCCGGACCTCCCAGAATCAGAGACCGCAGTGAATAAAGACCTAAGTGTGGAAGGGGGTATCTAGTCCTCACACTTCGCTCCCACTTCAGTTCTAGTTAACCCTGGCGTTGCCAACTTCCTGCAAACCTCGCTTCTGCCTCCATCACACAATCAGCCGCCTGCAAGTGTTGGTTAATCCGGGAGGGGAGCTGAGCCGAGGCTGCGGGTAGACAAGCGGGCGGAGGGCAGCGCTGTCCCCATCCCCGGCCGGCGCGATGCAGCCACTTGCCGCCCTCCCGCCGCAGCCCTCCCTCCGTCCCTCCCCAGCTCCCGCCGGGTTGGGGGGCGGGGGCCCCCGCGAGCAGCCCCGCCCCCGCCGCGCACCGCCCGCGAGGAGTCGGCGGGGAGGAGACAGGCTCGCAGAGCTGGGGCCGCGTGGAGCGGAAAGGGAGCGCGAGGAACCGCGGGCCGGGCCGGCCCAAGGGCGCCCTCGCCTCGGGGCCCCGGCGCGGGCGAA